CACGGAGCATGTGTGGCGAGGTGTCCCACGGAGCATGTGTGGCGAGGTGTCCCATGGTCAGACCAGCACGGAGCATGTGTGGCCAGGTGTCCCATGGTCAGACCAGCACGGAGCATGTGTGGCGAGGTGTCCCATGGTCAGACCAGCACGGAGCATGTGTGGCGAGGTGTCCCATGGTCAGACCAGCACGGAGCATGTGTGGCGAGGTGTCCCATGGTCAGACCAGCACGGAGCATGTGTGGCGAGGTGTCCCATGGTCAGACCAGCACGGAGCATGTGTGGCGAGGTGTCCCATGGTCAGACCAGCACGGAGCATGTGTGGCGAGGTGACCCATGGTCAGACCAGCACGGAGCATGTGTGGCGAGGTGTCCCATGGTCAGACCAGCACGGAGCATGTGTGGCGAGGTGTCCCATGGTCAGACCAGCACGGAGCATGTGTGGCGAGGTGACCCATGGTCAGACCAGCACGGAGCATGTGTGGCGAGGTGTCCCATGGTCAGACCAGCACGGAGCATGTGTGGCGAGGTGTCCCATGGTCAGACCAGCACGGAGCATGTGTGGCGAGGTGTCCCATGGTCAGACCAGCACGGAGCATGTGTGGCGAGGTGTCCCATGGTCAGACCAGCACGGAGCATGTGTGGCGAGGTGTCCCATGGTCAGACCAGCACGGAGCATGTGTGGCGAGGTGTCCCATGGTCAGACCAGCACGGAGCATGTGTGGCGAGGTGTCCCATGGTCAGACCAGCACGGAGCATGTGTGGCGAGGTGTCCCATGGTCAGACCAGCACGGAGCATGTGTGGCGAGGTGTCCCATGGTCAGACCAGCACGGAGCATGTGTGGCGAGGTGTCCCATGGTCAGACCAGCACGGAGCATGTGTGGCGAGGTGTGGTCAGACCAGCACGGAGCATGTGTGGCCAGGTGTCCCATGGTCAGACCAGCACGGAGCATGTGTGGCGAGGTGTCCCATGGTCAGACCAGCACGGAGCATGTGTGGCCAGGTGTCCCATGGTCAGACCAGCACGGAGCATGTGTGGCGAGGTGTCCCATGGTCAGACCAGCACGGAGCATGTGTGGCGAGGTGTCCCATGGTCAGACCAGCACGGAGCATGTGTGGCGAGGTGTCCCATGGTCAGACCAGCACGGAGCATGTGTGGCGAGGTGTCCCATGGTCAGACCAGCACGGAGCATGTGTGGCGAGGTGTCCCATGGTCAGACCAGCACGGAGCATGTGTGGCCAGGTGTCCCATGGTCAGACCAGCACGGAGCATGTGTGGCGAGGTGTCCCATGGTCAGACCAGCACGGAGCATGTGTGGCGAGGTGTCCCATGGTCAGACCAGCACGGAGCATGTGTGGCGAGGTGTCCCATGGTCAGACCAGCACGGAGCATGTGTGGCGAGGTGTCCCATGGTCAGACCAGCACGGAGCATGTGTGGCCAGGTGTCCCATGGTCAGACCAGCACGGAGCATGTGTGGCCAGGTGTCCCATGGTCAGACCAGCACGGAGAATGTGTGGCCAGGTGTCCCATGGTCAGACCAGCACGGAGCATGTGTGGCCAGGTGTCCCATGGTCAGACCAGCACGGAGCATGTGTGGCCAGGTGTCCCATGGTCAGACCAGCACGGAGCATGTGTGGCCAGGTGTCCCATGGTCAGACCAGCACGGAGCATGTGTGGCCAGGTGTCCCATGGTCAGACCAGCACGGAGCATGTGTGGCGAGATGACCCATGGTCAGACCAGCACGGAGCATGTGTGGCGAGGTGTCCCATGGTCAGACCAGCACGGAGAATGTGTGGCCAGGTGTCCCACGGTCAGACCAGCACGGAGCATGTGTGGCGAGGTGTCCCATGGTCAGACCAGCACGGAGCATGTGTGGCGAGGTGACCCATGGTCAGACCAGCACGGAGCATGTGTGGCCAGGTGTCCCATGGTCAGACCAGCACGGAGCATGTGTGGCGAGGTGTCCCATTTGCAGACCAGCACGGAGCATGTGTGGCCAGGTGACCCATGGTCAGACCAGCACGGAGTATGTGTGGCCAGGTGTCCCATGGTCAGACCAGCACGGAGCATGTGTGGCGAGGTGTCCCATGGTCAGACCAGAACGGAGCATGTGTGGCCAGGTGTCCCATGGTCAGACCAGCACGGAGCATGTGTGGCGAGGTGTCCCATGGTCAGACCAGCACGGAGCATGTGTGGCCAGGTGTCCCATGGTCAGACCAGCACGGAGCATGTGTGGCCAGGTGTCCTATGGTCAGACCAGCACGGAGCATGTGTGGCGAGGTGTCCCATGGTCAGACCAGCACGGAGCATGTGTGGCCAGGTGTCCCATGGTCAGACCAGCACGGAGCATGTGTGGCGAAGTGTCCCATGGTCAGACCAGCACGGAGCATGTGTGGTCAGGTGTCCCATGGTCAGACCAGCACGGAGCATGTGTGGCGAGGTGTCCCATGGTCAGACCAGCACGGAGCATGTGTGGCCAGGTGTCCCATGGTCAGACCAGCACGGAGCATGTGTGGCGAGGTGTCCCATGGTCAGACCAGCACGGAGCATGTGTGGCCAGGTGTCCCATGGTCAGACCAGCACGGAGCATGTGTGGCGAGGTGTTCCATGGTCAGACCAGCACGGAGCATGTGTGGCGAGGTGTCCCATGGTCAGACCAGCACGGAGCATGTGTGGCGAGGTGTCCCATGGTCAGACCAGCACGGAGCGTGTGTGGCGAGGTGTCCCATGGTCAGACCAGCGAGGAGCATGTGTGGCGAGGTGTCCCATGGTCAGGCCAGCACGGAGCATGCGTGGCGAGGTGTCCCATTGTCAGACCAGCACGGAGCATGTGTGGCCAGGTGTCCCATGGTCAGACCAGCACGGAGCATGTGTGTCGAGGTGTCCCATGGTCAGACCAGCACGGAGCATGTGTGGCGAGGTGTCCCATGGTCAGACCAGCACGGAGCATGTGTGGCCAGGTGTCCCATGGTCAGACCAGCACGGAGCATGTGTGGCCAGGTGTCCCATGGTCAGACCAGCACGGAGCATGTGTGGCCAGGTGTCCCATGGTCAGACCAGCACGGAGCATGTGTGGCGAGGTGTCCCATGGTCAGACCAGCACGGAGCATGTGTGGCGAGGTGACCCATGGTCAGACCAGCACGGAGCATGTGTGGCGAGGTGTCCCATGGTCAGACCAGCACGGAGCATGTGTGGCGAGGTGTCCCATGGTCAGACCAGCACGGAGCATGTGTGGCGAGGTGTCCCATGGTCAGACCAGCACGGAGCATGTGTGGCGAGGTGACCCATGGTCAGACCAGCACGGAGCATGTGTGGCGAGGTGACCCATGGTCAGACCAGCACGGAGCATGTGTGGCCAGGTGTCCCATGGTCAGACCAGCACGGAGCATGTGTGGCGAGGTGACCCATGGTCAGACCAGCACGGAGCATGTGTGGCGAGGTGTCCCATGGTCAGACCAGCAGGGAGCATGTGTGGCGAGGTGTCCCATGGTCAGACCAGCACGGAGCATGTGTGGCCAGGTGTCCCATGGTCAGACCAGCACGGAGCATGTGCAGTGAGGGTGGGAGATGTATGACAACATAGAGTACTGTCTCACACAAGAAGTAGAACTTGATACAAAAGAGAGCTAATTGACAGCATCAGCAGCGAATAACACTCGACATATATAAACCACCATGGTTGAAGAATCAGTTGGTCCACGACGCCCAGACCATTATATCGCCTCAAACTGTCTGGTTGGTTATCGTAGCAGCTAAATGATCCACCTGAGGGAGGGGGAAGCGTGTCACAATAACTAATACAATGTTACATTTTATAATATATTTGGCAGAATAAGAACAGTAATTAAACACGATCATTATATATTAACTTTTTTATGAAGCCTTATTATATATGTTATATTAACTCTAACATTTTCTGGCCTGATTCTTTTCCTGACCCCTTCCAAGTGCTATATAGTCGTAATTGCTTGGCGCTTTCTCCTGATAGTTCCCTTCCCCTCCCTCATAATTAGTCAATATTGTGCTATTGTCATATGACACCATAAATATGACACTATAGATATGTCCCCATATATACATATAATACCATACATACGGCACTATCAATATCTGTATCTATAAAATTGAATGTCAATCCGTCCTTTTGCCGGGGCGAGATTGAAGGGCAGAGTTTTGGTTAGTTCTTCCCGGCCAGGGCTCGAACCTAGAGGAAGTTGGTAGTGAGGCACGACGAGTCATGCTCCACTACGCCACCAGGAACTGTCTTAGTGACGCTGCAATGTTCCACTACAGATTATTCTCTCTTGAACGGTTCTAATGTTCCATCTTCTCACCAGTGAAATATATGTTTATTGAAGTG